GCCGGGTCGCCGTGTTGGGCCGGGGCCCCGGGAGCCAAACCTGCCTGGCAGGTTTGAGACGGGCGGGGGTTGGGAGGAGGAGGGGGGGAGGGAGGGAGGTGCATCCCGGACTCTCCTCCCCCCCCTCCCCGCCCCCTTCCCCACCTCTCCTGGGCCGGGAACAAAGGCCGAGTGTTTGCCCTTGGCCAACCGGACAATGGCCCCAGAATGGTACCCTAAGGCTCTGGGTGGGGGTGGGGAGCTGCCCCTTGGCCTCCCAGCCTGAGCTACCGTTTTCTGCAGTGCCCAGGTTTTTAGTTGTTATTCTGTGAACCTTTCATGTGGCAGGCACCAAGGTGGGGATAGAACAAATAATTGCACCTTTCCTTCCAAGCAATTTTGGTCCCAGAGAGGTTGAGTCACCTGGTGGAGGTCACACAGAGGCTGCAGGGCGGAAGTCATATTGCTGCTAGGTGCCCCGTGGTGGCGGCCGAGGTTGGAAATCTGAGTTCCTAAACATTTCAGTCGGTGTAGGTTTTAAGTACAAGGAGGAGTGGGAGCCAGGGAGGCTTTGCCTGCCGGTCCCCAGCTTTCCACACCGAGGGAAGCACCAAGACCCCCGTGTTGTCACCACCCAACTCCTGTTCCCATTGGGGAAGAATCTCCAAGGGGAGGAGAGATCCCGTGAAGCCGGCCAGCCCCCCCACAGCTAAGTGCTAGCTCCTACACACTCCTGCCCATCCTGGCTGTGCTCTGTTCATCTCCTGCTCCCCACTTCCTGTCCTGCCCTCCACTCCTGGCCTAAATCCTTGCCCCCTCCCTGGCCCCACTCATACCAGGGCACCCTCACTCCCCAGCTCCTGAGGCTGACTTTAGTATCTTCCTAGTAGGAGCGCAGCCCAGGCCTGGGAGGTCTTGTGTAGGGGTGAGGCCCTCCCATCATGCCCTCCAGCTTTGGGGACCTAGGAAACTGCCCTGCCCTGGGACAAAGGGCATCTTTGCTGCATTTCTCTCCCAAGCTCTGTCCCCTGCCCCATCCTTGAGAGTGGCTCCTGCTTTCCTGCCAGGCTAGCTTCACAGGGCCCAGGCTCCCAGGGCCCTCCTGCCTGGCACACGCTTGACAACTTCATTACAATGTTGAGGCCGGGCTGGGGCTGTCTGGGCCACCTTGGGTCTGGCTTCTGTTCCTGGTGTAAAGGTAAATTAGACCCCCTTTCCCTGCAGAAGGCATGTCTACCTGCACCTTGCCGTGTGCTGTGGAGCTCAATGGCCCCTGTTAGCCTTCCTGGTATTGGTAGATGTCTCCCTTACATCATCAGGCACCAGGGCACACAAATGCATATGGTGAATCTTGCCAGGCCTCAGACAAATGGGGGCTACACTGTGACACTGATACTGGGGGCCAAAGGGAGGGGAGCTTCAGTAAGGTGGGTGGAAGGCAGCTTGAGGGCTTTGCATGTGCAAAGGCCCTGGGCTGGGTGCTGGCCACATTTCCAGGAGCAGAAAGGAAGCCAGAGAGGCTGAGGGTGGGGAGGGAGGGAGGTGGTGGGGGTGGGTGGTGCCACTGGTTGGGTTTATTGGGACTGTAGTGGACATGGCACCTCTTGAAGGTGCCTGAGCAGCAGGGAGGTAGCGGACATCACGGGAGAGGATGGGAGCAGAGTAGGTAGGTGCCTGGGTTCCCGGGTACCTCTAGGGACAGGCATATGCCTCGTGTGGTTTCCCACAGCCTCTCTGCCCTTCGTCATCCTGACTCTGGTGAACACACCGTACAAGCGGGGCTTCTACTGTGGCGATGACTCCATCCGCTACCCCTACCGCCCGGACACCATCACCCACGGGGTCATGGCCGGGGTCACCATCACAGCCACTGTCCTCCTCGTAAGGCAGGAAGGGCTTGGAGGGGAGGGAGGGGGCTGACTAGGATGTACCTGGAGAGAATAAAGGAAGTGGGTTGGGGGTGGGGACACAGCCCTACCAGAACAAGCCAAGCCCTGTCCCCTGGGCCTGTAGCCCCCCCTGGGCCTGCAGCAGCTGCTCCCTTGGCAGGTGTCAGCCGGCGAGGCTTACCTGGTGTACACGGACCGCCTCTACTCGCGTTCCGACTTCAACAACTATGTGGCTGCTGTCTATAAGGTCCTGGGGACCTTCCTGTTTGGGGCGGCCGTGAGCCAATCACTGACTGACCTGGCCAAGTACATGATCGGCCGTCTGCGTCCCAACTTCCTGGCTGTCTGTGACCCTGACTGGAGCCGGGTCAACTGCTCGGCCTATGTGCAGCTGGACAGAGTGTGCAGGGGAAGCGCGGCCAATGTCACCGAAGCCAGGTGAGTGCCAGCCCTGGGGCTTGAACTCAGAGCCTGGGTGCTGTCCCTGAGCTGCTTTTGCACAAGGCTAGTGCCCTCTATTTGAGACACAGCTCCACTTCTGGCTTTTTTTTTTCTTTTTCTTTTTTGCTGGTTAATTGGAGATCAGAGGCTCATGGCTTTGAACTGCAATCCTCAGATCTCAACCTCCTCAGGAGCTAGGATTATAGGCGTGAGCCCTGGGTGCTGTGTCTGCTCTAGGAGCAAAATAGAGGGCATGAGACACTGGCTCTGCATGGTGGTGCGGGGGCCTCGTGTCCCAGTGCCCTCTGGCTGCTGTCAATTCTGGTTGGTTTGCAGGGCTGCAGGCAATGGCCCTGCCCTGCTGTGGCTTGCTTGCCACCCACACTATGCCTTGCTCTGTCCTTTCTGTTATCTCTGTCATCTGTTGCTAAATCTGGGTTGTGTGTAGATGTGGATGTGTATAGGAGGAGGTGGGGGCAATACCAGGGCTTGAACTCAGTGCCTGGGTGATGGCCCTTAAGGACTTTTTTTCACTCAAGGCTGGTTTATTACCACTTGAGCCACAGGCTTCATTTCTAGCTTTTTGCTGATTACTTGGAGGAAAATAAGAGCTCATGGACTTTCTTGCCTAGGCTGGCTTCAGACTGTGATCCTCAAATCTTAGACCCCCTGAATAGCTAGCATTTACAGGTGTGAGCTACCAACACCCAGCTAGATCTGAGATTCACATGGACAGATGGTGTAGTGCTCCCTCGATTTCCCTAGGTAAGAAACAGTCCTAGGAGAAAGTCTGTGGACACAGAAGGGGCCCCAGCTGCCTGGGTGATGGATGGGGGTTCACCTGGGTCCTGAAAAGCCTTGCAGTGCTGGCTGTAAGCCCTAGTCTGACATCTGGTTCCATTGTGTGGAAGGGAATAATGACAACTTCATCGTGCTGGGATGAGCTCCATTCCATTGTGCGGTTGCTTACTGCCAGTCACAGGCTGAGACCCGGGAGGTTTGGAGGACAGCGATGCTGAGGGAGTGGCTGGGAGCCTGGCCCTGCTGCCCCATGCCCCACTGAACTCTCCCCTGCCCTCTTCTTTCCTAGACTGTCTTTCTACTCCGGACATTCTTCCTTCGGCATGTACTGTATGGTGTTCTTGGCGGTGAGTTTCTCTGCCAAATGCTAGCTGGGGAGCCTCGGTTTCCCCAGATGCACAGAGAGATAAGGTGGTGCTGGGGGGCTTCCGGCCTGGGTACTCTACACCGCCATCCTCTGTCCTGGTTGGGACCAGGAGGTTGTGGGCAGTACCCAGGCTGATGCCCTCTCTCCCGCAATCCCCCCCCAGCTGTATGTGCAGGCGCGGCTCTGCTGGAAGTGGGCACGGCTGCTGCGGCCCACAGTTCAGTTCTTCCTGGTGGCCTTTGCCCTCTATGTGGGGTACACCCGCGTGTCTGACCACAAGCACCACTGGAGTGATGTGTTCGTCGGTCTCCTGCAGGGGGCGCTGGTGGCTGGCCTCACTGTGAGCCCTGGATTCTGCCTCCTCCTCCCTCCACCCCTTCACCCCTCTAGACGCCTGCAGGACCCCAGCCCACCCTAGCCTTACAGTTTCCCCGGTGCCCTATCCTTGCTCAGTCTCCCATCCCAGGCTCCATTTTCCTCAGTGCCCTCCACAGGCCTTCCTTTTTGGGTCTCCTCCTCTTCCTCCTCCTCCCGCCTTTCCTCCTGTCCTGTTCATTGTCTGCCTGCTTACCTCATGACACAGACTTTTTTTCCCAGGTCCACTACGTCTCAGACTTCTTCAAATCTCGGCCCCCGCTGCCCTGTCAGGATGATGAGGAGCTGGAGCGCAAGCCCAGCCTGGCGTTGACGCTGACCCTTGGCGAGGCTGAGTCCAACCGTTACGGGTACCCGGCCGCTTCCTCCTGACCTGGATGCCAGGCGGCCATCTGTAGGACTGTCCTCTGGGTTCCCAGTTCCTGGACAGGCAGCCAGGGTGGGCTCTGGACAGGACTCAGCATCCCAAGCTGACAGCAGTGGCAATTTGGTACTGGACTGGAGATCTCGAGGTGCCTTTGCCAGTCCTGTGCATTTAGTGCGGCCTGTCCTTAGTTCCTTGAATGCCCCTCTTTTATTTTGTGGGTGAAGGAAGGTTCCCAGAGGGTGGTGGATGCTGCTTCTGCTAGACATGAGGTATATCTGGGGCTTGAGCATAACTAGTTCACTGAGTATCTCAGAGCACCTGCTCTACTCTGAGGCAGGTGCTCATTGCAGAGTGGACTCACCCTGGGGCCCGCCCCTCCATCTACTCTATGGCTCATTGGGGATAAGGTCATTGGGTGGGTCAGCTGTGGCCCCCTGACTCCCTCGAGGGCCTGCAGTGGCCCTGGGGCTGCCCTGCAGGAAGCTCGGCTCACCTTGGTGGTCTGGGTTGGGGGGGGGGTACAGGTGAGGACACAGATGCTGTTCTGTCCAGTCGGCCTCTGGGCCTTGGAGTCTGGGGTCAGCGGCAAGAGGCACTAGATTTGGGTCTGGATTCCTTCCTCTCTGATTGCTCTTGGTCCTCACTGACCATCCATAGCCCTGCTCTGAGGCTTCTGGACATCCCGTGTGACATGGGAGGTCCTCCCAGCTGCTTGCCAGCCCCAGGCCACCCAGAGTACAGACCCTGGGGGGGAGGGGAGGCGGTCAGGCCTTGAAGGAGCCTGGTCTGTCCTTTGCTGGTGGCCAGTGGGACTCAGAGCTGCTGCCCATGGCCTGTGCCCCGAGTCCTGACCCTCCTGGCCACACACAGACCCACGTGCGTGGCCAAGGCTTCTGGAGAGGGCACTGCAGGCCAGTGGTCTCCGTTTCTCAGCACACTCAGAGGTCACTTTTTCATATTTTTTTAAAAATCAAATACCTTTGTGATGGTCATTTGTTGTTTTAAATTTTTTTTTGCGGATATTTTATTTGTGCCCTGAACCTGGGCTTTATTTCTCCATCCCGTGTGGTATGCCCATGTCAGGACTTAGTCGGGAGATGTGCAGATGTCTGGTGCCCTCTGCACTGGAGCCAAGATAGAGAGATGTCCATAGCTTCCGTGACCCTCCCTGGGTGTCATGGTGGCTGAGCTAGGTACTGCAGGAAGCTGAGAGGGTCAGGCAGGTCCCTGATGGGGAAAAAGCCTTGAAGCGCCCAGGGCCCAGGATCTGGTCTCAGCAAAGTGGTGAATGCATCCCATCTAGCGCAGAGTGTGAGCCGTGTGGAGCATGAAAAGACTTCCTGAAGAGCCCTCAGGTCTTTAGATCAGGGGTCCCATGAGGAAGGGGTATGCGGGATCCTCTCCCCCCTCCCTCCCAAGCCTCCATGTCCCTGTTCGTGTCTGGTCACTAGGACCCCTGACACCATCACCAGAGACATGTGCAAACCAAGGAGTCTCTGCTCCACAAGCCTGCCATCCGAGGCTCCAGCGGCTTCCTTGCGGACTCCACACTGGGTTGTCAACAACAGAAATAGTCTAATTCCCTCCCTCCCAGCATCCTTCGCCAGAGCCTTCTGCCCCAGCTCCCTCCCATGACTCACCTGAGGAAAAAATGGACTCAACATGATCCAAAGGAGTGAAGAGTCTTTTCTAGAACAGGAAGGGTGTGTGGGGGGGAACTGGCAGATCCCTGCTTGTCCGAACTTGAGTTGTGGGCTCCTAGGCCTAATCGTGCACTTGAAAATGAAGTGTGACCAAAGAACTCCCATCGATTTGGAAGCAACAACAGCCCCATGTCTGATAATCGGCTGTTTTTCACCACTACCACCGCCTAGGTGATGTCTGGTCATCTGTCCATCTGCAGCTAGGACTGTTAGGCCAGTGTAGCCGGAACCACCCTCAGCCCTGAGGCTCCTCGGTCATGCTCCATATATATTCACCAGATAGCTCCTCCCTCCATGCTCCTTGGGTATAGATTCTGCTTGAAGTTGGGTCCAGTCTCTTCCCAGCTCCAAGATCCCATTCCAGTGGTCTCTGCCTGTCCTAGCATTCTGGAATAAAGTCTCGTCCCAGGTTTTACGTATAGCTACGTATTTCTTTTTTATTAACATTGTAAACCAGGTGTCAATTACCAGCCATTGACACCTGGGAGATGCAGTAAAGGGTCCTCTATAACCTGCTCATCCCTGCTGGCAGCTGGCCACAGAATGACAACTTCAGAAAGGCAAGATAACATTTCTGCTTAAAGCTCCCTGTATGCTGTCCTTATTACAGCAACCCTAGGAAAAGGATCCACACTTTCTCTCCAGTGCACTGCTAATCACACCAATGCTGATTGACAGGACTGATGAATTGGATGAAGAGGAACCGTGGAGAAACTTTGATCACAAAGGCTAGAGGGCTAGGCACTGATGGCTCAGGCCTGTAATCTTAGCTACTTAGGAGGCTAAGATCTGAGGATCGCAGTTCAAAACTAGCCTGGGCAGCAAAGTCCAAGAGACTTAGTTCCAATTAACCACCAGAAAACCAGAAGTGGAGCTGTGGCTCAAAGTGGTAGAGCATTAGATTTGGGGGGAAAAGTTCAGGAACAATGTCCAGGCCCTGAGTTCAAGCCTCCCTCACCACCAAAAAAAGGCCAGAGGAAGTGGGCATGGGATTTGTAGGGCTGAGTTGAAAGATCACAGAGGCTGTTAAGGGCAAGGGAGTGGCTAGGGAGTGGCTGGGAGGGAAGCCGCCCAGACTCTGAGCACTCAAGCTCTTCTGAGTCTCCTATTACATAAATTACCAGTCACAGGCCTCCAAACTGGGATGATGCTGACAGCCTAGACGGCCTCAAACCAGTCCCACTTGAATGGGGGTTCACTTAGGGAGCAAAGAATGGCTATGAGTATGTTTACTCAGCTTGGCCCATAACCTATCTTTCCTCCCTTCCTCCCTCTCTCTCTCTCTCCCTCCTTCCCTCTTTCCCTCCCCCTCCTCCTCCTACTTCTCCCTTCCTCTCTCTCTCTCTCTCTCCTTTCTTTCTCTTTGCCAGCCCTGTGGCTTGAACTAAAGGGTTAAACACTGTCTCTGAGGCCAGCTACAGTACCACTTCCTGCTTTTTCTGAGTATTTTATTGGAGATAAGTGTCTAATGGACTTTCCTGATCCGGCTGACTTTGAACTGTGATCCTCAGATCTCAGCCTCCTGAGCAGCTAGGATTACAGGTGTGAGCCGCCAGTGCCGGGCTGTGGCCCATAATTCTTGGCTTAGGCCCTGTCTCTGAGCTGCTTTGGCTCAAGGTCTACCACTTTGAGTCATAGCTCCACTTCCAGCTTTTTTTGTGTATGTGGTACTGAGGAATCGAGTCCAGGGCTTCAATGATGCTAGGCAAGCACTCTACCACTAAGCCACATTCCCAGGCCCACAGTTATTTTTTTATGAAATTGTTTCTCAATATTCCCATAAGTAGGAGTGTTCCTGGGAGATTATAAATTAACCCCAGGTGTCAGACTGGAAAACACTAGTAATTCCAGATCTCTGGGGACATTCTTGCACTTAACCTCTTCCCTTGACTGTGGGTTTTGGTATGACCACTAGAGGGAGCTAGAGACACGGTAGATTTAAAGTTAAGGATGAAGTGAAGATCAGTTTTGAAATTTGGTTCAAGTAGATTCTTGGTCAGTGTGACAGGGTGTGTGGAAGACAGAAAGGGCAGGTCCTGTGTCTGAGGTCCTGTGAAGATGGACGGACACAATGGCTCCTGAGCTGTGTTAGCTACTTATCCCAAATTCAAGCATCTTGTTCTTCTCTGAGCACTTCCCTGAGCTTCTTTTGCTCAAGGATAGCACTCTACCACTTGAGCCAGGACATCATTTCTGGCCTTTTCTGTTTATCTGGTACTGTGGACTGGAACCCAGAACTTCATGCATGCTAGGCAAACACTCTACCACTAAGCTACATTCTCAGTCCCATTCCTATCTTTTAAAATAGTATCATTTGTTACTTACATGTATTTGTTGAGTACAACATTAATACATAATATTTCAAAAGGCTTCATTTCTCCTTTTTGGTCTCAATTCTTTCTTAGTATTGTGGGTTTTGTTTTTGTGCCGGTGCTGGGGCTTGAACTCAGGAATTCATGCTCTTGCTTAGCTTTTTCATTCAAGGCTGGCACTCTACCATTTTAGCCACACATGTACTTTGGCTTGGCTTTATAAATTTTAGTTTTAGTTTTAGTTTTGTTTGTCGTGGGGCTTGAACTCAGCCCTGGGCAGTGTCCTTGAGCTCTTCAGATCAAGGCTAGCTCTCTACCACTTGAGCTACAGTATGACTTCTGGTTATCTGGTGGTTAATTGGAGATAACAGTCTCATGGGCTTTCCTGCCCAGGCTGGCTTTGAAGGTGATCTTCAGATCTCAGCCTCTTGAGTAGCTAGGATTACAGGCGTGAGCCACCAGCACCCAGCTTCCCTACCTCTTGCCTTATAAAAAACCCTTAAACATTGCACCAGTTATTCTGCAAGGTTGAAGCTACCTGTGGTGCCTACCTTTTGCTCTAACAAGTTTCTGGCTTGAATTCAGGTCCTGGGCACTCTCCCCTAGCTTTTTTTCTGAAGTCTAGTGCTCTACTACTTGAGCCACAGCTTCATTTCTATCCTTTTGCAGGTTAGTTGGAAATAAAAGTCGCATGGACTTTCCTGCCCTGGCTGGCTTTGAACTGTGACCCTCAGAATTCAGCTTCCTTAGTAGGTGTGAGCCACTCAGCACAAAAGCACATTTTCAAACTGTTCAGGTGAGGGAGAACGGAAGACAAGAAGGTGCCGTGTTCCAGGGCTCAGACTGTGCCAGCCTAAGCAGGAGTTGGGGGTAGGGTGGCAGTTACCAGGGTGGCAGACCTGCGTTGTCCCTAGAGGGTGTGTATGTGTGCGTGTGTCCATGCACACCTGTGTGTACACACAGGTGCATGTGTGCAACTACATGTGTGCACCTATGTGCTCACTTGTGTGTGTGTGCCCATAGGTGTATGCACACCTGTGTGGACCTGTGTGCACACAGATGCATTTATGTGCAGAGACCCCACGGCCTTGCCCCCACTTGACCCCGCCCCACCCTGAGCCCCGCTCCTGGGTGGCCGCGGCCCCACCCCACCCGAGAGTCCCGCCCCTGACTGGCTCTGCCCCACCATGTGGCTCCACCCCACCTA